AACTTAGAGAATGGAGAAGAACAAGATATTTTCTATCCTTTCCAAGCATTTTATTCGGCCGTTTACAAAATTTGGTTAAATATTTAATCTAAGGATTTCAACGAATATATCCAAAGGAATATTGTATTAAAATTGCCAAAAATGAAGAAAATAGCACACACAAAAATAGGAAAATCTATTATTTCTGGACGTCAGTAACTTAAAATCATATTTCGAAAAAAAATTATTCCTTGCCAATCTCAAGTCGTAGACTGCATTAGCCCGTCCAAATTTGAAAATAATAACAGAGACTTAATAATATTTTTGAGTAGGAATCACCCAAAGCAACACATTAAAACACAAAGGGTTTCACGGTGTGAAATAATTAGGAACAGAAGCATTAATGATGAAAGAGAAGAGAGTAACCAGGTGGACAATAAATAGCCATTGACATTTCGTTTAAGTTTTTGTAGATTAAAGTTGGCTGGAAAGCATGGAGCCAGAAGTTAGTTCCACAAGCGAGAAGTGCGAGAGAAGAAGCTGTTAGCATAGAATTTAAGGTTACATATAATCAACTCAACTGCAAATTGATGAGATCTCGACGCCAGTCTAACACTGTGCTTATATTAGGTACCATAGCGAAGAGTTCATTCGAACAATGACAGTGAATATATTTATAGAAAAGACATAGAAATGCAAATCTTACGGAGGTGGGTAAGTGACTACAGTTGTGCCACCAGATCAGAACCAGGAATATTGCAGATTCTCCTCTGGATCTTATGAAGGAGCTCAAGGAAAACAGCAAGAACGCCGGGCCATAACTTTGGACGAATGCTAGAGTTATAGATATGTCTTGCCCGACATAGTGAATCGATTTTCTTAGTAGCCAAATTAGCAATGGATTCAATATAGTCTTTCCACTTTATATCAGCAAAAAACATTGCAATAAAGAGAAAACAAAGAAAGACACCTGATAAGGTAATAACAGTAAATGTTAGCATCTAGTTTCTTAAATTTTAAGCGAAATAAAATTACATTAAAAAAAGCAAAATATAATTACATTTAAAAAAAAATTAGCCAAGAAAAATATTCGATCGCAGAGAATACTCCTCTCAATGGTTTCAAGCGAATAAAACCCGTGGGGCGTGTGGAGAATAGTCCTTCTTCGGATCTTGGGGATTGGAGCTAAAATAGAACTTTACGAATCACAGAAGCCTCATCACTTGAAGACTTTCAACAAGTAAGACAACTAAAATCGATAGCACATGCAACTCGGGAAGAGAATAACGACATAATCAAGATGTTGACTTTCCACATTACATTAAGCAAGGATGGAAACTTCTATCAATACCAGAAAATACGATAACTGAACTTCAGGAATCTATTTTCCTGAAAATTGTTTTAAGAGAACAAATTTATAAATTTCAACCGATAGTAATACTAACTGGTCAATGAATACCGAAATGATTCTTAACGGAACGGCTAATTTCCTCATTAACTGTTACTATTATCATTCCATTCCATTAGCATTACCATTCTGCGAATAAATAAAGAGTTGATTTCCGATGGTCTTAAAAATAAGGTGCGTCAATAAACAGATTTCATTTTTTTTTCTCAGACGGAACTGATGGTGAATGACGTGTAATTTGTGGTCTGCCTTATAAAGTCGAAGTAGCCAAAGATGCAACTTGTACAAGAATAGAGACATGGAAGTAATCACTTGTCAAACAAAGAAAGCACCGGTTACTTTTGTACTCGTTGACCTAGCACACTGAATGAACCGGCCAATAACATGGCGTCGGCCACACAACAATGGATAACATTTTCTGGTGCATTTTTTTTATTTAGCAATATCATTGATATTGTCGAACCAATATTGATGAATTCGACAGACTTAATGGGCTGGATTTTATGGCCATTAGACATTCCGTTGGTAGGCAATCCGTCAAAATGCTGTAATGTTGAACTGACGCGAAATACTAAAAAGATATCCACCCAAAGAAGAAGAGCACCCACAAAAAAAAAAAAAAAAAAATTCGAATGTTTGATCATTTGGTCAGAAATTGGGAAGTTGGTTTAGTCGAGAACTTTTCAGCACTACCTCATATAATCATATAACTTCCCTAAAAAAATAGTTCGGGTGTTCAGGATTTGAGGATTTGTTTTTCCTGAAACCTTTCCACCACTTCCGCGTATACGGTCAGCAAAAATATTTGTTTCATTTAATTAGGATTTAAGAAAGTTGGTTGGGCTGAGGACTTTCCAACACTTTTCGTTACCACCTCGTAAATGTATATTTATTTAGTAAGGTTAGCTTAGTATGGTACAAGGCAAGTTAAAAGGAAGATTTTTTTATGTAGGGGCAAACTTTTATGCCTTGAGAATTAGCATTCGAAATTTTGTTTTCCTGGGTTAGAATACTGACACAGGAAAAAAATGCGCAGTGTAGGCCCATTTTTAATATCTAGGTCTACATCATATAAATTTCAAAACCTGTTGGGTAGGTACCTAGTATGGTGTAGGATGTAGTGACCGGAAAACCTCAAGAGAGATGATGAGGCACGCTGTACTAAAAGCTGTTCACAGTTTCCTTATATTTGTAAGTGCAGAATAAGCCTACCCAATACTTTCGATAAATGCTCGGAATGTGTAAATATTAATCACTTGATTTTTTTTTATCATTTCGCCACGAGCAAGGACATAAAGCCACTAAGAGAGTACTGAGTGTGAGAGAATATGATAAAATAAACACTATTAAGGAAAGAGATCCATAAAATAACAGGAATTAAGAAGTCAAAAGATAGATATTGCTTTTAAATTTTTGAAGATCAAAGTTGACTGGGAAACAAAAAGCTTGGCCAATGAGAAGTGTGATAGAAAAAACTGTTACTTACAATTATATATAGCGTTTTCAACAGTAAGATAATGGGACCTTTTCTTCCAATCTAGTACTGCGTTTAAATTCTTAAAATCTAGGTACCATAGAGGAAAGTTAATCAGAGCAATTAGCAAGAAAGTATTTGCAGAAAAGAGACAAGGAAGCCACTTTACGGCGGATTACTGATGTAGAGATACCAGATAAGTACCAATAACATAATACAGATACACCAGACGAGATGTGGCCGCAATATTCAAATCATAGACGAAAGGTAGACTTATAAATATGTAAGATAGATTCTGGAGAGAAAAACTGTTTAGCACAACACAGTGAACCAACTTTCCTAGAAGCAAATTTAGCAATTAATTCAATATAATCTTCTCAATTCATGTCAGCGGAAAACCATAACCCATTGAGTCAATCTCCTGGAGTTTAACATCAGCTATGCTGATGGAAGGCAGAAAGGATTTTCCAAAATAAATAAATAAATAAAATAATAATAATAATTCTGTGTAATGCCAATCAAAATTCAGTATAAAGTGAGTGATGGAAATCTGTGACCCACCCGCATTTAAGTTAAATATGAACCAAGATTTGATGATGGTGATAATGAAATAAATTCACAGTTCAAATACATTTCAACTTTCTGCGGGAACGAGCTTCAAATCCTACTCGTAGGACAAGGTTTCAGCTCGTAGAACTCGCTTAGAGTCGGATTATTTGGTTTTGAAATAAAGTTTTAATGAAATCACTTTTAAGAAACAGTTTTAGGAAATCTCTTTTTAAAAACATAGCTAAACCACGAATTCCACATAATTGCTATAACTCTCGATTATTTTTACTAAATTTCATCCAATACAAGGCCCAAGAACAAAAAAAGCAGATTGATTGATTTGATTTTTACGGTTTATCAACCTTTTTAAAGCCGAAATATATATTTGAACTGGAAGAATAATTCTTTTTTTTAGCGAGTGAATAATGCATTAACAACATGTTTAAGAATATCAATGAATTTTCCAAATGCAAGTTCTACTACTTAATCCATATCTGGGAGGAGTTAAATTCCCATGGGAAGTGAATGCAATGAAACCGATTGGAATTCGAACTCGGCTCTACAATTTCTCATTCAGATCCGTTATATATTACTACTCAAGAAAGAGGGTGACAGAATGAAGCGCGGGATATGGTGGATAGATATCGATTGATTATTGATTTGAAGACGTTACTATTGTAGTGTTCGGAGACGAATCCGAATATAAGTAAGTTCTACAATGTAGAACTTTGGAAGAAGCTCTCCGAGACGAGTCCTAACCAAAGGAATATTTGGGGAATAAGTGTGACTCAACCCTGTGGATATAGAAAGACGGGGTTTGGCTATTCCATGACGAAAGGGATATTTGGGGAATAAGGGTTATCAAGGACATAGAAAAACTGGTTTTAGCTATTGAGAGACGATAGCCCTTCTAACCAAAGGAATACGTGGGGAATATGGGTGATTCAACCCAGTGGACATAAAAATATCGGTTTTGGCTATTCCGAGACAAAAGCTCTTCTTAACAAAGGAATACGTGGGGAATATGGACGATTCAACTCCGTGTGCATAGACCGAAGGTTTTTGGCTATAAAGGATTGAACTGTTCGCACTAATGAATGTAGCTTGTTGACCATTTGCCACACAAATAGTGATACAGTAACGATAACTTTAATCTTGAAATGTTCCGTATGTGGGAAACATGATGCAGTCTGGAAAAAAATAAAACTTCTGTATTTTGCGACCACAAAATATTATCGATGTAACAGTTGTAAACATGCTAGTATTGTAGATGTATATTTTGTTATCTTCAATTTGTAATTTGATTTTGGGGGAGTTCTTGCTACCAATCATGCTTTTCGTAGATGTTTAGTTCTGTCTTCTTGCTTTCCTTCGCTACATTATGTAGGAGTTCCTGTAAGTTCTGTACTCCAAGTCGAAGTAGAGAATGATGATTTTCTAGGCTTGCCGAACTCGGAAACGTAATGCTCAGTAACTGATCTCATTTATTCGACCGATTTGGCATGTAAGTTTGGTCAGTAATAAATCTCAAAAGAAATAGTTTTTTTTTTTTTCCAAGTGGCTAATTTTAACTTTTCGCAATCAGAGTCAATGTCTTCTTTTTTAACTTTTTTTTATTTGTGTTTTTATGGCTGTTTACAGGCGTGTTGTGTACATAGACGTGATCTAGTCGCTTTCTCTGCCTGTAGATTGCCTTTTCTGCTTCAGGCGTACATTCAGCAGTTGAGACTTGCATGAATGATCGAATCGGGTAGTACGAATGCACGCGCCTTAGTAACTCAGTCCTAGCGTGTCTGTCATGTTATATAGCATTTCACAACTCAGCCTCCTCGCCCTCTAATCTATAGATTTTCTTTCTTTCTTTTTTTGTTTCTCTCTCTCTCTCTCTCTCTCTCTCTCTCTCTCTCTCTTTATTTATTTGCTATTTTGTCTTTTTTCTCTGTTTTCACTTATGTTTTTGTTTTGTTCTTTCTTTTGTTCTCTTACCTTCTTGTGCACATTTCCTTCTTTCTCTTTTCATTTCTTTTCGTTTCTTTCTTTCTTTTTCTTCGTGTTTCTTTCTTCTTTAGATTTCTTTCTTTTTCTTTTTTCTTTCTTTCATTCTTTTCTACTATCCTTCACCTTCCCGATTGCTTACTTTTTTTATTCTGTAGTTGTTTTTTTTTTATGCATCCAGACTTGATGCTTCATTCTTCTGTGTATTTCTTCCTTTCTTTTGCTTTCCCTTCGTTTCTTTCTTTTTTGTCTTATTCATTAAATTCTCTCTTGGCTCATTAAGCTTTTTTCATTTTGTTTGTATTTTTTATTTTTTGTGGGTGTCTTTATATATTTTTGTTTTGTTTTCTTTACCTTTCTTTTTGTTCTTTATTTCTTTCTTAGCTTTTTTCTTTCTTTCTTCTTTCTAAGCGTCATTTCCTCGAATTTTCTTTTTCCTTCTTTGTTCTGTTCCCTTACTTTCTTCGGTACATTGGCTTCTTTCTTTCACTTCACTTCGTTTCTTTCTTTCCTTCCTTCTTTCTTTCTTTCTTTCTTTTCGTTTTCTTTCATTTTTTCTTTTTTCCTTTTGTTTTTTTTTTTCGATTTTTTTTTATTTTTCTTTCTTTTTTTTTCTTTTTCTTTCTTTTTTTCTTTCTTCTGTGCGTCACTTCATTGTGCTTTCTTTTTCCTTCTTTCTTTTGATAACTTTATTCTGTACATTTCTTTCTTTCTTTCTTTCTTTCTTTCTTTCTTTCTTTCTTTCTTTTCCCTTCTCTTTCTTAGTTTATTTCTTTTTTCTTTCTTCTGTACCTGCTTACATGTGTTTTCTTTTCCCTCTTTCTTTTGTTCTCTTAATTCTGTAGAAAACCCTTCTTCTTTTTTCCTCTCTCTCTCTCAAAATTTTCCTTTCTCCCTTTTCCTTCTGTCTTTCCTTCCTTCCTTTCCTCTGCGACTACTTCCATGTGTTTTCTTTTGCTTTCTTTCTTTTGTTCTCTGACTTTCTTTTGTACATTTCTCTCTCTCTCTCTTTCTTTCTTTCTACTATCGTTTTCTACTCTCCAAATCATAATTAATTTTTTTTAAGCGTTTCACCCCAAGCAAGGCGTGAAGCCACTAGGACGCAAGAGGTTACAGAAAATTTGGAGCAAGATCAGATAGGAGTGATAGAAGAAAGGATGAGGAGAAGAGTAGTGGATAGATCAAGGCAACTGGAGATGTCGATTGACATTACATTTGAATAGCTGGAGATTATAGCTCACAGGGAAACTGGAATAGGGAAGGGAAGTTCCACAGGCAATAGATGCGAGACATGAAGCGAAGAGACGGCTACATTTAGGAGTTTCGACAGTGAAAGGGTGAGAGCAGGATGCCAGCCTCGTGGGGCGCTTGAACTCATGAAGTCTGGGAAGCAGCGAATGCGGCTCCTCGGAGCAATTGCAATGAAAGTATTTGTAAAACAGACAGAGAGAGGCGACGGCGCATCTGTGAGAGAGTGACTGTTGACGAGATGCCAGAGCAGGGCCAATTATATTGCATATCCGCCTCTGGAGCTTATCAAGAACCCGAGGCAAACAGAAGGGGCTCCAGACCATATATGGCAGCAATACTCCATGCAAGGGCGAATTGTTGATTTGTAGATCTGGAGGATCGATTCCGAGGAGAAAAATTTCCTGGTGCGGCACAGGCAGCCCAACTTTCCTTGTGGTAAACACGAAGCAATTGACTCGGCCAAGTCTCTTACCATTTTTGCTTATGGTTGATACATCTTTCTTATCTCTAAAAGCTTCTTACAGATTCATTATTTTCTCTCTATTTTGTTATATTTTATTTATTAATTTCAATTTCATTTTTGATTTCCGCCTATGTCTAAACGGCAGATCCGACTTGAGCATGCACAGATATTTGATAAATCCTGCTTGATATATGAAACGCGCGCTCTATTTATTCATTGTTGTAATTCAGTCAAGTTTCAGTCAAGTGATTTCAACATTTCCTTTCATTCTTTTGCATTTTTCTTTCATTTTTTCGTTTTCTTTTCATTTTTACATATTTTCATTTTTTAGTTTTTTTTCATTTTTCGATTTTTTTTATATTTTTCTTTCATTTTTTGTTTTTCCTTCATTTTTTACTTTTCCATTTCTTTTAATTTTTCATTCATTTTTCTTTTTCTTTCATTGTTTCGTTTTCTTTCATTTTTATTTTCTTTTTCATTTTTCATTAATGTTTCTTTAATTTTTGCACTTTTCAGTCATTTTTCATTTTTTTAAAATTTTTCTTTAATTTTAAATTTTTTTATTTCATTTTTCTTTCATTTTTATTTCCTTCTACTTCAATTTTTTCGTTTTCCTTTCAATTTTCTTTCATTTTTTAATTTTTTATTTCATTTTTTCGTTTTAATAACATTGTGTATTTTTTCTTGTTTGGTTGTTTTTTGCTTTCATTTCAGATTCACGGTGTGGTGCGATGCATACCGGCTTGGAATGAGAAATCAGAGAGTCGTGTTCTAATTCCAGTAGGGCTAGTTACATTCCCTTTCGCGCGGGTATGAATCAATCTCTTTTTTCCCCTCCAGCTATGAGTTAAATAGCGGGACAGCCTGGCCCTACAGCCTTGACTGTCAACCAGTCTACTGGAGGAAGTAAAAGCAGCCTTTGCGGAAACTCTTTGGCCTAGTCAGTCATGAATCGGAAAAGACATGATCGCCCAAGTGTCTATCAGTATTTGACTTACTTAGTTTTTCTCTACTTCTAGTTGTGGTTTTAAATTTTTAATATAATTTTATTTCATTTTATCTTGCTGTTCAAAATTGGACTGGATCGACAATAGATTTTCCTGCTATCAGATTTCAGTCTTGTAAGTCTTGAAGTATCGATGAAGAGTCGGGTGGGGCGAAATTCGCACCGGTTACACTCCTGTTCACGCTTGTTATTCTTAGCTAATTTAGTGATTATACAATTCAAAAAACACGATGAAACTTTTTCGGCGAAAGCGATGCGTCAAAGATGAAGATAATAATACAAAAATACATATGAAATTATAAATACACATTTTAACTGAGACATAAAACACAAGGAAAACTGAAAAAACATGTCGGCTGAAACGTTACATCAAAAGCAACAAACATTAAGATTTCAATCCAGAAATATATGAAATTATAAATACACATTTTAAATGAGACATAAAACACAACGAAAACCGAAAAACATGTCGGAAAACTGAAACGTTACATCAAAAGCAACAAACATTAAGATTTCAATCCAGAAATATATGAAATTATAAATACACATTTTAAATGAGACATAAAACACAACGAAAACCGAAAAAAACATGTCGGCTGAAACGTTACATCAAAAGCAACAAACATTAAGATTTCAATCCAGAAATATATGAAATTATAAATACACATTTTAAATGAGACATAAAACACAACGAAAACCGAAAAAACATGTCGGCTGAAACGTTACATCAAAAGCAACAAACATTAAGATTTCAATCCAGAAATATATGAAATTATAAATACACATTTTAAGTGATACATTCAGAAAACAGTGCGAAAGCCTAAAATTTTTTCGACCAAAACGTTGTATCAAAAGCAACAAGCATTAAAATATTAATCTAGAAATATATGAAATTATGAATAGACATTTTAACTGATACATTCCGAAAACAGGGTGAAGGTTGAAAGGTAGATTAGCCGAAACATTGCATCAAAAACAACAAACCTGAAAAATAAGTTTATATATATATATATATATTATAAATTTACTAATTTAAAAATATGTTTCTATCGCTACACAGGAATTACCATGTTTCATAACAGAAACTAAAAACTTCAAATTCACTTATAGAATTAAAGTAAAGTCCCCAATCCTGTTTTATTTTCAAGCAAATTTTGGAATAACTTATTTTGACAAAAGAGTATTTGTTTTAAAAGAATTATAGTCTATTAGTAATTAGAATTAAGAATAATTTTTTAAAATTGTAGTTCAATGCGAAGTATTCATATACACACAAACCTTTTAGAAAAAATCTTTATGTTTACAGGTACAAATTTAACGGCGAAACAAAAGTACCGAAAAGCTTTTTGTCGTTGATAAAGTCCAGACGACATGCGTTGAACGGATGTCATCATTCGTTGAAAAAGGCACCCCTACATTACCTGAACCTCTTTTCGAAAGTAACTCATATTTTGATACAATAGTTGTTAGTGAAAATGAATACCCTACCACCCCTTGTCAAAATGATTGGTTTTCCTCATATCCTTAGAAACTAATATTATGAATGTATGTGCTTATAAAACTCCGTAAATTTCAAAATAAGTTATTCCAAAATAAAAAAAAATCCAAATAAAATATGAAAATGAAAACAGGACGAGGGACTTTAAGTTTTTAGTTTCTGTTTTTGAAACATGGTACTTCCTGTGTAGCGATGGAACCATATTTTTAAATTAGTAAATTTACAATATTTATGCTCTGTAGATTTGCACTGTTTTGTAAAAATAAGAATAATTAGTAAGAACACCGGGTTATATATCTTACTGTTGTTTCTCTTTATTATAATATATATATATATATATATATATATATATATATATATATGAATTTACAAATACCCATTGATTAAACTGTATCGACCGAAACGTAGTGACAAAAACAAAAATGAAGCAACCATCCGAAATATATATGGCCTAATAAACAACCTTATTTATATATGGCTTAATAAAAAACTTTATTTATATATGGCCTAATAAAGAACTTATAGAACTCTTATAAATTTCAAAGGCTTTATTTTCGATTGCTACCGACATTTCATTAAAACCATGAATTCAATAACTCATAATATTTACACTATTTACATTATTCGGACTATTGTCTTAATCTTTGTTGCCATATTTATCACAACATTTCGGCCGTTGTACGCTCCGGCCTTCATCCTTAAGGACACATGACACAGTGGATAAAGGCATTGGTTAGATCCAGTGACAAGACCTAAAGAGTTATGAGTTCAATACTTGGTTAAGGCAGAGGAAAATTAACTGATAATTGACATCCCTTAGACATGGCACGTAGAACTAGAACAGTCTATCCCAGAGAGCGAAATAAAGGGTTCAGTTCGACATTTCAACCACCTGAGAAGGCCGGAGCGTACGATGGCCAAAACGTTGTGATAAATATGCCAACAAAAATAGTCCGAATAATGTAAATAGTGTACATAATACCTCATCTCAGGAATATAGACAGATACTCATAATATTTTTTTAAATTTTATTGCAACCATTCAAGATGCACTTTTAGTTAAATTTAATTTAAAAAAAAATTTTTTTCCAAATATATTTTTATATATGGATTTTATTTATGCGTTAAATGCAGAACTGGCAAAATCTCAAATATAGGATAAGGCTGGTCTTCTAACCTACTCTCAACAGTTTAGTTCTCGCTGGCGGGTAACACCAGCTAAGAGCCAGTTATTACACTAACCAAGAGTTTAGGTATTAAAAGGTTATTTTAATACTGTAACATCGGGAGACCTTGAAAGAGCTCGGCTAATAAACGCATGCGTGATACGATCTGGAGTATGAACAACTTATGACGTAAATATAAGTCACTTATTTCCAACGGGTTAAACATTGTTCAGATAGGACACCGATGAAAGAGTCGACATTAATGATTTGTCCGTCTGAAAGAGCCGTCTAGCTGTCTAGACGCAGCAGATGGTGAGTTTTTACTGATAAGTAATGTACCAAAAGATGATTTATTTATGACGACACAGCGAGAAGGGCGTTTCCTTTTGAATTTCAAAGTATTCTCATTAGTTCATATATTTTCAGATGGTTGTCTTCATATTTCTTTATGAGAAGACAGTTCGGTCGATAGAGTTTTAGACCTTCGACGAGTTTTCAGAATATCATACTTAAAATGTGTATTTATAATTTCATTCTTTTTCATTATTATTTTCATGTTTGTTTTTTTTTTTTTGTTTTTTTATACAACGTTTCGGCTGACATAGTTTTTACCCGTCGCCATGTATCATCAGTTAAAATATCTATTCGTAATGTTGTTATGTCTTCTAGTTTTTGACGTAGAAGTCCTTCCTCTGATTTGTCGCTCGACTCTATGAAAAATAGGAGAAGTCTATTTTGTCCATGTCACTACAACTTCCGGAAACGAAGAGGTTTTATGCCCTTCGTTGGGCTCTGACTTCTAAGAACAATAGTACGAGATCTTATCTCCAAATCTTCAGGCGCCTACCTGGTTCTTTTTATTGAAGATCTAGGTCTGGACTAATCTTCATTCTGATCTTCCAACTCCATGTCGGATTCGTGCGAACTATCCTCCATTGTTTCATTAGTACTCTGTTCGCTTTCTCCATGAGGAGAACTGATGCTTTCCTCTCTTTTAGATTCCTTCTCTACTTCCATCTCAACCCCGTCATCAATTCTTGGCCGTATTTGATATTCTTGGTATTATAGCCGAAGTAGATGCCTTTTGTGCAATATAGTCTTTTCAGGATTTGATTCTCTTTCATTTTTGTACCATATCTTTTCATTAATTGAATAGGACATTGTTATAGGCTATTTAATTTGTGTTCCCATCAATGCTGAGTGACTTTGCATTCTGCTAGCATGTGGAATAGTTCTATAACATAATAATAATCTAGGTAGGTAACGATTTATGGCTTCTCTTTGATGGGAAAACGCCTTCAGCCACATTTTACCGTCTGTAACATCCTTTCTACAATTCCATTCGATTGCGGGTGGCATGATGGTATTTTATAAGGGGGGCTTAAAATTTATTTTAACCGCGAACACAAAAGCTTCATTACAAAATTTTTGGCACCCATTTTCTGGAAAAAATTACTCGTAATATTTGCTTTATCATGCCTGCCTTCATATCCTGAACTCTAATCACTTCAGGACATCTAGAGAATGAGTCGGCCAAAATTAAAAATAGCCCTATCCCCTTAACATATCCCATATGAACACGAGCTCATGGCTCTTTTTCTGTAGGCCATGGATGTATCTTAGTTTGGCATTTCCCTAAAGATTTTGGGGTATTTTTGTACGTATTTGTTTACATCACACGGATGCCAAGGCCATCAATCTTCCAATATCAATCATCTCTGTGTTTCTGCTATTCCACAATGAGAATCATCGTGTACACTTTTTATTACGCCTTTTCGCAATCACTCTGGTGGTATTAAAACATCTCCATTGCATATAAGACACCCTTCTC